AAGACGTGTCAGTTGGTCATTAAAATAATTAATATCTTATGAAATAAGTTTTTAATAAAATACAAGAGTGCATAATTATTTGATTTAAACGTAATTACCTATAGACAACCAAAATACAGTTAACGGCTCATTCCAGAACCAATATGACGATTAACAAAATATTTTTTGATACAAAAATGTTTTCAATTGGAAAATTGGTGGTGTAACAAACTATACATAAGTATCTACCCCAACCTTACATATTATATAGTCTTCAATTATTTCTAGCGATGACCCTGATTGTTTTCTATTTCAACAATGACTTTGTGGTATTATAGTTTACTTTCTTATAGTCTTCATCGCAATTTAACATCACAGTAGTTAATCAAGGGGATCACAAAGAGAGTCAACTATGATGAACAAATCCTCAAAAGTATCTTTCGACAATTCTGAAAATCAATCATAGTAGGCCGCAACGAAAAGCTTTCGTAATTTTGTTATTTTCCAATCAAAATAAATTCTGCCCGGAAGCAACGGAAGCTTTCTGTTTTCCAATCATAATATTTAGCACCATTTGACATTAATTTTACCAATCAATCAGAAATAGATCCAAATCTTGAACAAATCTTGAACAAAATTTAAAGATTTATCAATAAATATTGATAAATCTTTTTTATTTTAGAAGGAATCAACCTTGGCAAAAAAAAGCATTAACTAATATTACTACAGTGCATTACTTTGTAATAACAATAATAACAGATAAGAACCTTCTTAATATTTAATATGTTATTAAATATTTAAATAAAACTTAAATCACATCATGCATTTATTTAATTAGTAAGAAAAAGGAAATCGCATTCTAACCGTGTCATATGCAGTATAAATGTAAAATACTATGAGGTATTAAAATTTTGATTGTTGACATAATGCCTAAATTATGCTTAATACTTAAGTTATACCACTGTAATAACTAAAAAGTACCTGTTACAGTTACTGACAATAATTATGTTAACTGCAATCTACTAGTCTATTTTTTAGGACAAATTGAATTTTAAATTTAGCAAACAAAAATCAAACTGATAATTTTTTTTTGAACCCAAATCGAACTAAACAATTGAAATTGCACTTATATCAAACTTTAATATCAACTCTAAACATTAAATTCACTTTAAGAATGATATTATTTATTTATGGTTCTTTATAAACTTCAGTACCTGAGTATTTTTATTCTATTGGTTCATTATTCAAACCAAACCGAGCTTTCAAAGTTTGATTAGGTCTTTTAAAAAATTTAACGGTTCGTACATCACAGTAAATTATTGTTGATATAATTTTCTTTTGTCTAAAGCGATATCATTAAGACAGCAAAACGATCTCTTTATTTTTACTATACTTAAAAACCTCGTTCAGCGAGGCGAATAGATTTATTTAAATTAAATAAAAAGTAAAAAATTTAACTTTCACTAAAGACTGGGGAATGTTTTTTCTGTACTTTTTAATAGTTTTTGTTATACACGAGCTATTCGTTTTTAGTAACTTATTTTATTCTACTTTAATTATTATTTATGGATGCTATAATATTATTTGTTTATGCCGGTAACAACAACCAACAATGCTAATGCATGGATGAAGTTCTCATCGAAAACTGCAACTATGTTTATTTGATTTTAAAAGTTACATGACTAAAATACCTTATGGATCTTTTCTCACGCCAAACGGGTTTCTGATGGAAAGTTTATGATAACATAACAGTTAAAGTGCTATTGGCGGACTCCACTTGTATATTTCATTAGACATTTATCAAAACACTTAAACATTTTTTTTTTCGTTGAAAGACTACACTTAAAAAATATTATTTGTAGACTTTTTATGTTAATGGTTACTAATTTTCTAAAAAATAATTAAATTTACAAATAATTCCTATGTTTACCTATATCCGTTAATCATTATTCATGTATAAACTTAAAACTAAAATTAAAAAAAAATTGCAAGTATAGCAATTATATAAATTCATACATATTAAAAGGTCTTATATTCACTTACTCATAAAGACGATTTTCACATAGTATAATAATAAGAGTGTTAATGTAGATAAATGTAAATATATTATGGAATCGTATAGGTTAAATCGAATTTTAGTACATTTAGCAGGGCATAAAATATACACATAACATATATTTATATATCATTTTTATAATAATGTACAAAAAATCTGAATAAACTGTTGATTTATTTTATATTTTATAAATTATAATATAAATATCACAATATTGATTTATTTTATATTGCAACAAAAACGCTATAATTCATATTTTTAGTATGATTGTGTAAAATATTTTAACGTAAAAGGCAAACAGACATTTTTTTCTCTTTGTACATTTACGTTTTGATTTAAAAATGAAAAGGTTCAAACGTAGATATATTGAATTGGCCTGCAGGAGAGCGTGTTAAAGTATAATCTAAAAATAATTTATTTCAGTTTAGTACAAATCGTATGTTATATCATAAATAATAAATTTCATGTAAAATATAAGCAAGTTTGGCGTAATAATTTTGTCTGGAGATTAATATGAGCTACTTAAGTCAAAATTTACATGGTACACACGTTCAAACATTTTGAAAATAAATAAAAAAAATTATTTTTAAATTAAATATCTAACTTACAATCTTATCTTTTTAATAACAATATTTCATTTGGGAATAAAAGTGAGGTTAGTTGCGTTCAACGATGTATACTTTCATTGCATAACATAATGAAATAGCTATTTAAATGAAAATATTTTATGAAGTAATTTTCAGAATTTTAAATATTTTATTTTGAAATGTTATATGAAATAACCAATAACCAATAACCAATACCTATTTTAGACTGTGAGTAGTGATGAAAATATTAGTTTTACAGTTATGTATTATTGTGTATGTGTGTTTGTCTTCACTTATTAGCTTTTGAACTTTTAAAATTTTCAACTTTGATGGCAGAAAATTCTCATTACTTTTAAAAATAATTTGGAAACTAAAAAAAAAATACTGAAAAATATGAATATTTACGCACACCAGTTTTCGAAAAAATCAATTAAATTAAAGACTAAATTGTTCACTAAATATTTATGTGCCTAAATATTTCTAAACCTATTATAATTTTCAATATATTTTTGCCCTTTTTGTGATATTTATAAATTAGTATTTGAAAATGTAAACATTTTTTTACTCTTTACCCGATACATGTAGGTATGTTTACATTTTTACTTATAAGTTAAAAACCTTGAAAATATAATACAATATTAATTATAAAATTCTTACAGTAATTATTAAAACATTTTGAAAACAATATTTATTTATTTTTTTATTTATTTAATTAATAAGCGTTTGAAGTTCAAATTTCGACGAAATTGTGAACATTTGCAAATTATTTTGTAATTAGAAATTCAAAACATTTTAATACCAACACTTTTGACTTAAATAATATGTATGCTAAGAATTTTTCATAAGTTGTTCTTACAATAATTTTAAATACAAGTTTAATTTTGTATAAATTTCGTCAAAATCACAAAAAAAATACATTTTATTGTATGTCTGTTAAAAATGCATACAATTTTCAATTTGAAAATTTGAAATTATTCATCATATTTTTTTTCATAGAAATTCAGAGAATATAATAATTTACCATGCAAGTAAATAATGAAATATAATATGTATTTTTATTTTACACATGCATATGTGGTAGGTGAATAAACCTATTTGAATATAAGATATATAATATACATATTATAAATCAGAGTTTAATTTTATCATTGAAAATATAAAAGATATCTTACAGTAATAATTATTATAAATTGTGATGTAATAAACAACATATTGTGCTTTTGACATTAGCGTTTTTTATTTACTTATAAAATCATGTACATACCGTTATTTTTTTATTGGCATTTGTCACAAGTTATAATATGGTTCTTATGTCTTAGGAGTATGGGGTGCTACAATAATTGCTTCAATCTGATTATTATGGTGTATTTCAAAAGCAAGTGTACTTAATTGATTCCGTAATTTGACCTCATTTTGCACAAATTACAAGTCACGTAATTTGGTGATTAAACTCTAAAGCGATTAGTGACTCGCCTGTGATCGCAACTCTCCCGCTGAAACAATGTCATCCACATTTATTCGGGAACACTATGTATGTTATGAAATTTGATTTTTCTATAGTTCTAAAACTATAAGGTATTATTATTTAATTTAACAAAATATATATACAAAATAAATATCTTATTAATTATAATTCTGTATTGATGAAATAACGAAATCAACTATTTTAATAATTTTTAAAATACATTATTGTCCTGTAATCTGTAGAAATAAGTATGAATCGTATATATTGTCTAAGTCATCCCTGTTTGGTAATATACCAAGACCAAGGTACATATATACTAGATACCTACTGTTTCGTATATTTATTTCTCAATACTATCTTTAACATTAATATACGTGTTATTAATTTACATATATTTACATAAGTACATTTTTGAGTTAACTTGTATGTATAATAAACGAGATCGTTTGTATAAATATACATGATGATCTATTCAGTGTAAAATATTTCCCATGGTAGAAAAAACTATCTAAAATAGCTTTGTTTTTTGTCGACAAATTTTAAATACTATGATTTAATTAATTCATTTTGTAATGGAAAGATAAATTGCATGCATACATTTTTTTTTGCCTGGTTGCGAGTATATGCAATCGTGTAAAAAAAAAATTTTAACAAAAAAAGGTACATCCGATAAGTGTCGAGCACAATTTTGAATCACCCAAATGATTAACCGAGTTGTATCCAACGCGTTTACATAAAATGTAATATTAATTAATTAAACTGAATTCATTCAATGGCGAAAACGGTTTTTTTCCACGAACAATGTAGTATTATATCAATATACAATACACTCATTTAATATATTTTTATTGTTGTTGGCGAAAACTAAACACATATTTTTTAATAACACCGAAATATTCTTTTTTGTTCGCAGGTACATATACGTGTGCCACGCACCAGTGGCCAGGACATGGTGTACAATGCCACGGGTTCTTAAGTGCGTCGCCTGGATATCAGTAATGGCATCATTACATCAATCTACTAGATTTGTGGACAGAACATACGAGCCAATCAAAATATCATGGAGAGGACAAGACTCGGTTGTCGTGTGTAGGGTGAGTATACTGTTTCGATAACTTGTGAAAACATGCCAATACTCAGTATCTGCGATCAGTAAAAATGATAATATCATCATGTACTCATAACCCATCACTAACTAGTAGTTATGAAATACTAAACGAATATGACCCTCGAGAACTTCTCCCGCATATGGTAGGCAGGTATTGAGAAAAGTTGTCGAGAACAGAAAAACTCTGGAAATGCAAAACCCAACCATTGATAAATAATTCACTGTCCATTACAAAAACAGAATAATAATAGCAGATCTAGGTATAATTATATTAGTACCAAGTCCCGCGCAGGTGGTTAATATAACAATTAGATAGCTTTAGAATTCAAAACTAAAACATATGCAATTAATGGATTATTGGTGAACCGTGGAGGGGTGGTGAAATAATTCTTTTTTTATCAGAAAGAATTCAAAGTACCAATCATAATATCATATTACATCTCCTATATATTTTTTTTTTACAATGGCATTGAAACACTTCAACTATATGTCCCTTCAACTACGTCCTATCTCATTTGCAATACTACTACTAAAAGCAATGCAAATTTAAGCACAGCATGGTTTTATTTACAAAGCAATCTTATAAATGGTTGTAGTTATGTTGTCATATCGTTGTTAAACAAATTAATTGGAATCCATATTTTGGGCATGTGTTTTGCTGTATTGTAATCGATATGATTTTTGTAATAATTTTGTATATTTTTGTCATTTTTTATGCTTTTGTAAAAATATAATAGTATAAAATAATACTCACTCGTAGGATATTATATAGTGGCTGAAAATATATTAACAACCATGCATGCATTTTCACCATCGTTGGTTGGAGAATAGTGACGATGGTCCGACTGACGTATAGTGAAATGTGTTATACCACACCAACCATTAGATATTTATGAAATAAACGTTCGTCCTCCGAATACTTAGTATATTATAAGCTAGTACCCACTTGGTGTATTATCTATTTTTTTGTCGAACTCGCGCTTATTAATTATTTTCATATTACAACAGTGTTTAATAACAAAAATAAATAATAAAATGATTGAATTTTAATTGTTTAATATAACATTAGATTATATTTTGTACACTTCCTATAATTAAGATCGATACAATATAGAACCATTGTCATTAATGCATGCGCTGTATATTTTATGTAAACAAAAACCACACGAAAATTATAACGACAGTAGGTATAGGTAGTTTACGTGTTCAATATTGTTTTGCATTTTGTATTACATCGCACTTGTGAATAATTAAAAATGTATGAATCTCGTTTAGTGGATACACGTCACGGTTGTTGTATATTGCCAATGTTTACTAAATTGATTATTGATTTTTTTTTTTATTCTTAATAATTTATTCCCTTGAAAAAAAAAATTATTAAATTATACGAGTTGTAGCGGATCAATTTGGTAAAACAGATATTTATAATAAAATTACGTGTTCCTCAAAAATAACATTGTTCGAAAAATCGAAATATGCTTAGTATTTTTCATTTTGATTGCTTATGTTTCTTTTTTCAAAATTATTCACTTCAGAAAAAAATATAACGTTTTCGTTTAATTTTGGACGAACATTAAGGGATAATACCTACCGTGAACTAAGAGAAAAACACTTCGTGTTCTTCAAGATAATTTCATACTATTCGGGGTAATCTAAAATAATCATTTTCAAATAAATTAATTTTTACAGAGCAAGAGACGCTTTTGACTTACGTATAGTGTCATTGCATAGTCCGTAATAAAATTATAATAAATTGAAAGGAAAAAATATTTATACCTAGAAGAAAATTTTAATTAAAATATGCTACATTGTTTGAAAACTTGTAAAGTTTTTATATTACATTCTATGAGCCAATTATTATTTTATTGTTATGAATCATCCCGATTAAAATTACAATAAAACAATTTCAATAATAAAGAAAAATTTTTTTTTAATTTTAATAATGTTTCTTTATTAAAATATCCAACATTTTTAGTTTCATAAATATAATTAAGGCTTAAAATAATAGTTTTTTGATAATATTAATAATAACTAACCTGCTATGATAATCTTTAGTAGATTTAAAAACTGAGGTCATCTGACTAGGCAATAATTTAAAAAATGTTATTTCTATAAATGATATTGGATAGAAAACAATAACTGCCAGAAACGCACACATGCAGTCTTACTCGGCCGATGTCCGGCTGTCTTATCAATACGATCATTACCTAGCAAATTATATAAAGTACTTTTATGAAAATTATTGTGATGCGTGCGGGAAAGTGGGAAATCCGTTCGAACTATGAATCCATTATTTGACTAACTAATCAATCGAACCATGTTAATGGGGAATCCCGATTATGAATATCTACAGGAATGTAGCCGACGGTTATTATACCGACACACAGACGAGACAGATGTGGAAATTCACAGTGACATTTTAACGTATTCAACTATTATAAATTTATCGCGATCGGCCTTCTGCTCAAAAGCTCCCACCGAGTTCAAAGTTGTTATCTACCAACAACACAATAATCTGTGTATGGGATGATTTAGAAGCACGCATAATACCGTATTTTAGTGCTGGGACGACGAACGAAACCAAACCGAGTAGTCGATATACGTTACATAACATTACGGATAATTTTAACGAATTTACATACTACTGCATAATAAATGCATATTTATACGCGGAATGTGTTAAACAGTATGATAGTTATCGAAGCAGCATTTGATTATGTTCCTTTCACTCGTCACACTCGCCGGGTCGCCTCCTTAAAAACGAGAGCATTAACAATAATAATAATAATAATAATTATTATTATTATTATTATTATTATTATTATACCAACACCCGATAGCGTAATATTTCATTATAGTGAATTCGTTTCAAATCATCGAGATAGGTAATCTCATTCGATACGCTTCCGTAGGCGCTTATAATAAATGAACCTAACAAAATATTATGTACAAATATATTTTCATGTTAAACCTATTAAACGATCTCGAAGAATAACTGAGGTTTTTTCTGTATAGGGCTGCGTCGTGTGGCATCTGGTGACATAAATTATCAAACCTTTTTGGGTTCAACTCTTATCCAAATCTTGTTTTTAGTCAAAGTGTTCCCAAGACAATAAAATTGCCATCTTTCTTCAAAATGTCAGTTTAAAACACTGCACTAACCAACCAACGGAATACCCAACGAGTAATAGGCACCTATCGCTGTTTATTTTGCGAAGTCAATTACAAACGTTGAACGTTTACTCTGGTACGAACAAAGTAGCGATACTGACTAAAATACCACGAACCTTTGACAATAGTTTCACTGAACGTTTATTTATCCCGTCGTACAAAGTTCCGCTTACCAAATTTCTATAAATCAAACGTCGACATTACTTTTATCGGAGTCCATTCTTTGGTATGTCATTATGGTCGTATTTCACATTTAAAACTTCAATTTTATTGCATCCAAACAATATTCTCTGTAACTAACTAAGAATTATGTCAATACTTCAATACTTGATAAATTATTGAACTAGACTTCCATTTCACTGACCCAAGTATAGGTACTGACATTTTGAGCTGCCTTTTCTGCAATAGATATAGTTCTCAGCTCTTCAGACACAAATGTAGTGTAGAAATAAACAATGAAATCTTAGATTCTACGTACAATGTACATCACATTATTTTTGTAATTTTTGTACGAATCAAATTTTTAAAATATCTCATATTTTAAATTGGAACATTTTGGATTTAACTTTGTATTAAATAAAGGAGTCAGGTTCAACAGATATCATTTATTACGTCCCCTATAGAATACAAATGTGCGTTTCTTACATTTTCATTTAAATTACCATGTACCTATTCATGTTCTGAGTAAGTGCCTAATTAACATTATGAATCGATTAAATATTTTTATTACTTACTGTTGTATCGCGATTCAGCAAAATGTCTCTCGACAAAAGTCAATGACACTGAAATATAGAAAAAAAAGTATGTATATACATATAACAACATTAATATTAAGAATAACATTAATTAAATTATTTTTCAAAATATCAATAAATACGAATATTATATTATTAAAATTTATTGATATTATGTTTTCACATACAAGGTTTAATTAGAAATGAATGAAAATAAATAAAAAATCTGACGAAATGCACATATTGTATAAGAAGCTACCTATTTTAAGTACAATAAAGCAATGAATTTGTTTATGGTTATGTTCAGTTTTAATATGACGGGTATCGTCATTAGAGTGTGGTTATAGGTTGAGGTCAGAATGTTATATACATTTTAGTGTTTATGTAGTATTTCTAACTTAATTAAGTGCATATACAACGAAATTGCGACTGAAGAGACCACGTGTGAATTCAAATTGCATGTCTCAGTAGATATCCAAAATGAAGCCGGAAAACGTAATACAGACTATAAAATTTAATTTTCCTTATAACTAAATTATTATTAATACACATTGTTGATACATTTTCAAAACTATTATTTATCATTTTAACTAACATTAATAATTTTAATAAGTTTCAATAAGTTGTATAAGAACTATAAAATGAATTGGCTAAACTTGATGGGTATGTATTTTATAAAATATGCTAAAAACCATAATATTTTTAACGTTGACCTTTTCTATAGTATAATATTATAATTAATTTAATCAAGTAGTTAATGGGAAACACATAAGTATCTTCTAGACTCAAAACAATGTAACAAGGCACTTGTTGTGTCAACGAGTGTTTTTCTTGACGTGTAATATTATATGAACGTAGGTGCACAACAATACACTTTGACAAATAACATTTGGTAAAGGCTGGCTTTATTCTTAATATGTTAAACGATAATTATAGCAATAGTTATGTTTATGTTAATGAGAGTTTATATCAATACCAACCATCCAATAAAACACAATTACTGTATCAAACGTAATATATTAATATGACCACACTAACAAAAGTTTTAAATTACAAATAAACGAAGAAAAAATACACCAAT